ATATAGTGAATCAAAGTAAGACTTTATCTTTTTCTAATTGTTAGAAGCCAAAGTAAGATTTTTGTACCATTATTTGCTTAAATACACTTTAATTAAAATATAGTTTGTATCAAATGACTTTATAGTACTCCAATAAAAATTTGTCTATCATACAATTATTATGAAATTTCATTTTTTTCTTCTTTTCTTTTCTTTTTATTAAAAAAACATGCTATTCATATTATATTTAATCTATCAATGGAAATAAACAATATGTTATTGGACAAAAAAGGGGGAACATTTTTAAATTGACAGAAAAAAGTTTCCCAAACCAAAAACGTCTGGGAAAATTTTGATTACTTTAAAAAATTCAAAATTGTCTTCAAAAGGGTGTGACTTTGTCATTTATTATTTGGTTTTTAATATTTTTTTCCACTTTCGAGGGTTTCCCTTTTAAATTTACCCAAAAAACAAATAAATGAAATTACTAATTTACCTATACATCAACTTCCCCAAATATAAAATGGGCCCACTTATTTTTTTGACAAAAACTTTTTGGGCTCCCAAATGAATATATGAAATCTTAACTGTGTTTGATACGAAGGGTAGATCTGTTAAATTTGTGATGCAAATAAAATTAAAACGAAAATTATTAAAATATGTAAAACTTTAAAATATGTTTTCCTTAAATTTATTTTATTCGGGCTATGAATGTCATTTTTTAGAAACCTCAGCCTGTTTCCAACCAACATCAGAACGAGATATTGTTCTTCAGGTGGACGCTCCGTTAAGTCTTCGTTACATGGAGAGTTCGAATACAGACTTTTCAATTGAAATTATTTAGATTATCGAAATAAAATTGAAACTTGAAGCTGTGTTTTTTCTTGTTTGAATATAAAGCTGGGATAACTATTAAATAGGCTATCACCTGCATAGTATCTTTAGGAAGGATGTGTCTTTTTTGTCAGAGATGAACGGAGTAGCTGTACGGAGACGATCTCCGTGATATTATTTGTTGATAACAATGGTCTCTTTTTGGGAGATCCCCTGTGTGCGTTGTTGGGAAAGTACATTATTAATTATATAGAGATATTTTTCTCCCTCCTTGTAATTTAATGAATCTCCTTTGTAAATTTTACTCCATTATAGCTGTCTTTAATATTGAATGAAATTATTAATCAGTAATGATGTAGAATTAAAGGCACATTATGTCTCGGTAATTACTTTTTTTCGAAAGGGATAACCATAAAATTTGAACAAATATTTAATAATTGATTAAAAGCATGTAAGATGCTTATCACTGGTAGTAGGTAACTCTGAATGTCATATAATTGGTAAATAAAGAAGTAAATATGGAAAATCAAAGTGGTACTTGACTTCCATTTTAAATACTTATATTACTAATTATTGCCAAAAACATCAAAAAAGTTGTATGAACTATGAGTTATGTTTGTAATGAACTATGAGTTATCAGGACACCAAAAGTGAAGAATCATTGAGAAATAGAATAACAGCATGTTTTGGAAGCTTTATGAACTTTTAAGTGTTTGTTATAATTGTGGTTTTGTGCAGAATTAATGCACGAGCTAGTCTTCTCAAAGGGACATTGTACTACAAATGGACGCACCATTAATGTATAACTGCTATTGAAATTTATAGTCCCGGTTTGAAGTCTTGCTTTAATTCAAATTGTTGCTTAATAAAATTTGTTACTTCCTGAAAAAAAACATTTTTGATTGTCTTTGATTATTTCAACATCAATTTAGATATTCCTAGATTATAATAAGTAAATGCGTTTGAAAATGTTAATTTTGACAGTTTTCAAACTCAATACTAGTTTTTGATATATGTTTGTGTTATTAAGGAGAATAAATCAAACATACCCATATAATAGCAAAATAATTGTTTCATTGTAAATATAGTTAGTGCAGTTTCGTCTTAGAAAACATTTGAAGCAATACAGTTAAAATGATGTCTTAATATGGAGTTGTTAGTGATATCACAGATTGGAATGTGATCGGGGCCATTCGGCTTTAATTTCGGTTTTTTAAAAGGGGTTACCAAAAAAAGTTTGAAACATCTTTAAGGGGGGCAATTAAATGTAAAAAGGTCAAAAATTTTTTAAAAAACCGGGAAATATTTTTATGCCACCAAAAATCGAGTCTTTGAATATTGTAAAGGTTTTTTAAAAAATTAAAAAGGGGGGGCTGCTTTTTCAGCAATTTGGGTTTAAAAAAAAAAACCCCCTGAACAAATATTATAATCTAAATATGACAGAAATTTATATTCTTGTAAGCTTGTAAACGGGCAATCGATATTGTCTGTTGTATATACGTATATCATTTCTAATTGCCAATTGTCCAAATCAGAAATTCTAAAATAATAATTTCTTCTTGGCAATCATCTTTTACTGTGGTATGTTTATAAATATAGCTCTAATTACTTTGCACTTTCTCGAATTGAATACGTGAAATAAAGACTATTGCTTTAAATAGCAAGAAAATATATTAAATATATGAAAGCATTGATAAAACACCTGTGTCCTTTTAAAATAAATGTATTATCGTCTGCAGAAAACCCGTATTTATTACAAATGTGTTGGATGTCTGCTTTTTTTTCTTTACCAGTTTCAGGTTTATTGGCATATAAAATACATTTCGCGATTTACAAATAAAAAAAGGATGACCAAGATATCTAAAATATTTGTAAAAATAAAAATAACACGTAAGCTTGCAATCAGACAAATACATCTATATAAATTTACAAAAAACAAACCGGGTTTCCTGGACACTTAAAAATTTGGGGAACCCAAATAAATAGAATGATATTTCAAATTTCCCCACGTTATAAAAAACTTTTTCGAAACCATTTTTAAATTTTTCAAGAGGTTGAAGAAAATATTTTAAAATTTTTTTTTGGGGGGTTGGGCTGTTTTAGAAAAATAATTAAAAATGAAAAACTATATCAAATTTTTTTGACCTAAAAATTTTTTAAAACGTTTTTTAAATTGTTCTGAGATTTTGGGAAATTACCTTTCGGGGGCGATTCACAAAAATTTATCGTAAATCTAAACCCGGGGGATAAATAAAAATATATTTTTACTTTGTGTATAAATTATCTAACTTTTTTGAATATCAAACCCGGGCAAGAAATTTTTGGAATCCCTTCGAAAGGGGTTATTGTACCAAAAAAAACCCCAAAACGGGTTAAAACCATAAAAGGGAAAACAAAGGAGTTTGATCAACTTTAAACCTATATTTACTGTTTTTTAAACATACTCAACATAAGGGGTCAAGAATAGGAAATGTTTTTTTTCAAAACATTTTTCATATTTTTCCATGAGTTTAAAATTGACATTTTTTTTTTTTTCGTTTATTTTACTTTGTAAAAATAAAGTACAATGTATTTAAATGCAAAAAAAAACAACAAAAAAACAACATACACCGGAAAAAAAAGAAAAAAACGCATGTATTTATATTTCATTTATTTATATTACAATTTCTTAAGTTTAGAATTTGTAAAAATTAAGTTATTTTTTAATCATTTTAAAAATTTATTTTTCTTTCACAAAATTCCTGTTTTTTTAAAAAAATTAAATCACTAGGATATGAACGGTTTAAGTTTTTTTTCCCGGGTTTTTTTTTACAAAGAAATTTAAGTAAAAAGGGTCGTTTAAAATTATAAATTAAATATAAGAACACTTTTTCCCAGCGAATTTTTAAACTTTATTTGTTTTCATTTTTATTGTTAAATGCCGTATAGATTTATAAAAGAAATTTTTTATGATTTTTTAAATTTTTTTAAAAATATTTTAGCTACGGGATCTTTTTTAAATATAAATTTAATAAAAATTGTATTTTTACCCAGTTTTTTTAACACATTTTACCCTTTAAAATTTATTTTTTTAAATAACACATAGAAAAAATGTTGATAAATTTTTATTTTTTTTCGGAGTGGGGTTTTTCCGGTTTGGGACTTTTTTGAAAACCATGTGAATATGTCCGGAGATTCCCGACAGGTAAGTTATACACTTAGAGTGTCTATTTAATTTTGATAACTAGACTGCATCTTTTATTTAAGATATTTTGTTGTTACATATTCATGTTTAAGGAAGTCTGTTACAGTTACCTGCATAGACAGAATATACATAAATCTTGGGCATCGTTTCCTTTGATTTTTACAATGACTAAAAGGAAGTCAGCGACTATAATTAGCAAACGACATTATGTATTGTTCACCTTCAATGTGAATTATCTGTCCTTAGAATAAGCAACAAATTCCAATAAAAAGAAAAGAACGAGACTGGTGAATTTCCCTTAAATGTTTCTTTTTATTTATACTATGTTTAAATGTTTTTATTATCAGTTTTCAGACGTCTTGATAAAAAACTTTAGCAGACCTGATTCGTCTGAATAGATAGCAAACGTTATGATTTTTTATAGATTCTCCACCAAATACTTATTGGTTTGGCACCACAATTTTGTCACTATGCTGGCAATGATTACAATGTTATTTTGCAGAAATCATCATGACGCTGCAGCACTTAGTTTTCATTTACAAAATACTATTTTAAAATGATTTTAATAACAACTGGCGAAAAATTATAAATGAAGTAGACAATTTGTTCTTTTAAAATATATATATTGTCATTTTGTTACAAAATTACACTCTTTTTTTTAAAGAACCGTAAATGTTCCAGAAGAATGCATGAGTGGAACATTCCGCTGGAATCATCCTAGGGTCACGTCATGCTGCATTTCCAAAATATGCACGGGGGTAATATTAGTCTATTCTAAGTTTATAATCAATGTGAAGAACTTTTAATATTTATACCAAAGATATACATCAAGAATTTACAGTACGACATTTGAGATGACCCGAGAACTTAACGTTTGGAAAAAGAAACATATTTATTCTGGTCCTTATTTTCGTGATAAATAATTTGAAATTTTATCTTTTTTCACTTGTAAAAGAATAAAACATTTTTATATTTTCACTTTTTATTAATTTTTGTATTTAGATGGAAATAATAATATGCATAAAGGTCTTAGGTGGAACATTCTTCAATGTTACAGATAAAGCTACTAACGAACGTCTAGGACCTTTTGCCTACGGTAAATCTACTTTTCAATAATTTGTTTTATCAGGGAAAATCAGTCTAGATCAAATTGAGAAAAAATCTTTTATATGAAGTGTATTGTGTCTCTTAGCATAATCGTGTTTTTGATGTATATTTTATTTGTGATTTAAGGTCATCTGGTATTGTGTGTTAACGACTAAAAATAACTAATAATAGTGACTATGCATGTAAAACTTTGGAAAAGAGGTTGGTCCTTCCGAAGCGGTGAAAACAAGAAAATTACATAAAAATGTATAGTCATTAGATTACGTTTACGTGCGACTTTCAATAAATGCCCTCGTAATTATGTGGGTGTCAATAAATAACACCTTATTATCGGTCAACCAAATTAGATCACTTAATGCTGTGACTATAAATGTGGGTAATTAAATTTCGTGACTATTACTATTTGTCCTACTTATAGATTTTATTGTATATACTAGTAAATGGCCATTGTTTATGTCATACAATATTGTAACTGAGAACATAAGTTACCCTACCTTATGTTGTGTTTTTCTAATAGTGGCTAATAGTGGATATTTGTCGTCTTACTAAACATATTTGTTGAGTTTAAAGTCACACCGACCTAGATAGGTAATATAACGAATTTTCTAAGACGATCTTAGTTGTCTATGCTTATTTTTTTTACTTTTGTGACACAAGCAGGTAAAAACTATTAACCTTCTATGAATGTGCTGGATAGCTATTCAAAGTCCCTCAGGGTATTTGATAGATCTGGGTGATTTTAAGTTGAGTTGACAGATATATGAATTAAGTTATAGTGTTTCTTCGTGTATAGGTTATGTTATCTTGTTTCTACGGGTACATGAATGTATGTTATTTTGATTTTTACAATATATTTTATAAAAGTTTGTGTCTATGAATGTGTGTTTTATATAGTGGTAATTATATGAATATGTGTAAAAGAATGTTGTTTAAATAGTCTATATAATGTTGTTTCTACATATGTCACATAAAGAAATCTTGTTTTACGAATGCATGTGATGACTATTTCAAATTATATTTTGTACACGTGTACATTTTTACAGTTTTGCCTCTACGAATATATTTTATATATAAAGTGTTGTTTTTTTTCTATGAATTTATGTTAAAGATAATTGTTTCTACAAATATAGATTATATAATGTTTCTACGGAATATGATTCATAATGTTGTTTCTAACAATAAAGAATATAAATTGATATCTTTCACACAAGAACAGTCACACACAGACCACACTTGTTTAAACCCTTTTAACATGTCTTTCAGAAACCTCTGCGTGTCTGCAACCAACATCTGAACGAGAAGTTGTTCTCCAAGTGGATGCTCCGCTAGACCTTCGTTACATGGGAGAGTTTGAATACAGAATTTATAAATGATTTTATTTCTAGGAATAAATTTTTAATATGAACATGACCTTTTTCTTGATTTAACGTGAAACATCAAACTCCGTTTATTGGCTTTTTGCAGTATCTGAATAGTGTTCAATCAACAGAAGAGGTTTTTTTTAGTCAGGGAATCGTAGTTGCTGTTTTGTGTTTCAGAAATATGAACTAGTTCATACTATTTAACTGTTACGGACGGTTTTATTAATCATATTTTTGGTGCGTTATTGCTCTCAATAAAATCATCATAATAATGCACTAATAAACACCTATGAAATTATATAAGGAGTTTACCGGTTTCTGTACTAAGGTAACGAAATGTTCTTGACATATTTTTTTCTTCCATTTTTGCTCCTACTTTTTACAAACAACTGGATTATGTTCCCAATTTTCTTTATTTCACTATTCGAAGAGCGTCGGTATTGGCAGATTATTTTTCAAACATGAAAAACATGATTTGTTTTAATCTTTTATAGAATATTGGTCATGCACGGAACAGTCTTCTGCAAAGGACATATTGATACAGGTGGACGCACCAATAATGCACATCTATGTTGTGCTATTGAATACAAAGTTCTTTCTTGATATATTTGCGATGTTGATTTGAATTGTTCCAACATTAAAATGCAATTTTCAAATTAACAGTTTAACCATTATTTCAAATCTCCGATCTAGCCTTCTGTTCCAGCAAAAATTCACAAATTTAAAAGGACACACAATTTATATTATTTTCTATGACGACAAACCTGTTGTCTAATTATTGCCTTCACTGTTTGCTATTTAGTCAATACGTATTAGGAAAATTGTCCAATAGTTGATGAATGGTATTGTTCAGATGAAAAGAAGGACAAAATAGAGAAAAGAAAAATCCAATGACTTCCAAAAACTGTTAAGTTGAAAATGTTGCAGGCTCGATTTGACTGAGTCTGTTAAGTATAAACAACCGTCAACCCCACCCCCGTCTTAAGCAGAATTTAACAATTAACATTTTTTCAAGATTTCGAAATAAATTTCACGTCAATTTCCTGTTATTTCTGAAATGTTATTTAATTTCAATAAAACTTATAATTGTTCATGTTTATATGTATATCATTTTTTGCAATTCTTTAAAACCGATTAACCAATTACAATTTTCAAAGCCAAATTTAATTTTTTCCATTTTTTCATTCCACTGTCTTTAAATCAAATGCGACTGTCTAAAAGAATTATAAAGTCTCTACATAGAAACGGATTTTTTAAGATTACATTTTTTGCAGAGTCGGATTTATCAACACGAAAAGAAATAAAATTCAAGGTTAGTTTATTTTTCAGATTACCTTAGCCTATATAAGATGATACAAATCAGGATTTTCATATTTCTAAAAGATTACTATTATGTTATGAGGGATTTATACAAACGTCGTGAATATTTCAGAGCATAAACACATGTCTGTGCAAGCCAAACGTGAAATTTAATCAAGAGGCTAATGGATCGATTAATAAAATCTATCATTTTATGGATATTATAATAGAACAACAAAATATTTGTGTTTTGCTTGACAATTAAAACGTGGAAGGTAATGAGTGTGACTGATCTGTCTGCTGGCATGTCTCTAAGGTAACACGTGAAGTGTTTCTATGGAAACCGTGATAATATGTAAATTACAATACATTATTTTCATTAATTAACGGACACTGAGTAGAAAGTTTCATCCGATGTATTTGTTACCACGCTTATCATAATTGCAAATGACATTGGATTACCAGAGACAATATCCACCTGAGAGAGAAAATAAAATAAATTATATACACGTGTCCGTTTACAGATTACGATAGGATGCTTAACTAAGAAGTAAGTTTCCAGCTCATACAAGTATTGCTACGTTTTGATAGGATGCTCAAGTATTTAGTAAAATTAAATAAAATAGAAAAAATTGATAGCTATCAGAAAACCTAGTGATCATGGACAATAATATGATTTCAGTTGTATATAGTTCTATTACAATTGACCTGTTTCCATGGAAATTATCAAATTTATGGTTTGGAAATATTTATATATTTTGGAAAATGTTTCCGTTTGAAAAGCGCTATGTATTATTCACAGTTTATATATGTATACATACATGTATATAATAAGAATAAACTTATAGGTCCGATGGGCCGGGTGTTTTTGTATGTATTCTTATCAAGTATATATATTTGTTATAAACTATGCTACTATAATAAACAATTTACTTACTCATTTATACATATGTTCACATGTGTAAATTATACATGTCTAAATACACATAGCGTACACACAGAAATGGTTTTGTAGAAAAACTAAAACACAAAACATAATAAGTTAACATAAGAAGTGCATAAAGATTTTAGTATCGAAAAATACGCTTTGCTTAATTATTCTTTACGATAAATATATTTCTCAGTATCATGTAAGTTTTGTTAACTTCTTTCTTTCTAGATATTGGAAATAAAATAAGGTTTACAAGTTATTTATGTGTTAAAATGAACACATGTTTTATATTCAATTATTTGTGAAAAATGTAGCCACTACCTTGAAGCGTACATGTAATTACAGAAAGGCATTGCATAGTCAATATGCCATTTGTTTACTAAAATGTCAAAACTTTGGTTAATTTGAGATATATTATTGGAAGTATAATAGAGTTTTGAGTACCCTATCCAAGAAACAAGCAACCCACATGTAGGTTGGTACCCTGTAAGATGTTAGAGGATCTGTAAAAGTAATAATGTAGAAAGGGAGCCAGCATAAAATATACGAATATGATAACAAAATTATTATGCGCGCCAATTTTTGTCCCAAAATGCCTCCTGTTAAAACTGCGTCTTTTCGTGTTGATTTGTACAAGTTTATAAAACATTTCTTCCCGTTTTTTAACAGATGACTTTGTACATGCATTGCAAATCAAAATGAACGCTGTCGGCACAATATAACATATACCTGTTGTTGCAAAGGCGTATGGCTTATTTGAAATAAATTGGCACATCTTTGTTCGTTGAAATAAACATTCCATTTGTTGTTCAATCCCTTTTATGTGAATTTTCGGAAGATTAAAAAAAAAGACAAAATAGCTGGAATTATCCAACATCCGATGAATAGTGTCGTATTGAACTTCCGGTTTAACCAGTAACTTCGTCTAAAAGGTCGACATATTGAAATATATTGCGTCGAAAACCAACACGGAAAGGTGAAATATAAAGCTTTGCGGGTCATGACATCAAAACTGTTGCCGACATCACAGAGTAAGAGCTTTAATTGGTCACGAACGTGTATCTTAACAGAAATTAATCCAAATAACTTGACCGGAAGTACAAAAACTCCGGTGAATGTGTTACAGATCATCAACGAACATAGAAACAACCGGGTGTTAGCTTTTAATTTCGGTGCACGTACAGTGTACGCTAATGTTATAATATTATAGTTATATCAACTACAGGAACGAATGCTAAACAATATCCAATCACTTGCCCTGCTAAATAACTATAACCCCCAAGTTGGCGTCGTACATTCTACCTGGTTTGAGGAGATATTCCCACTGAGTAATGAAAAGTTCATCACCATATTGAAATACTGTCAACAATATACACTATAAAACGGTAACTGTATTTCAAATGAAACTAAATTTATCACTTTACACATGATACTTCCTTTCTCCTCCCCACCTCTTTGTTGCAAAAATACATGACTGTTTATATCTGTAGAATAAATTTCAGAAATTAACTTGTCAACGTATATAACACCCTGGCTCTAAAGTCAATGGCTGTATGTATTCATCAGGAAACAACTACTGAGTTTACATGATCCAATATTAGATATACCCAGCATCCCGCAAGATGAAAAATTTATACACATAAAAACCACTGGTTTAAATGGCATTCTATCAATTATTTGAAAAAAACCTATTTAGTCTTTATTAGTCTACCTTTGATTTTGATATTTATGACCGAATCGATTAATAAGCATGAATCAATGCAATTAAATTGAAAACAAGAGAAAATTTAAATTGCATATTGGCAATTTTGGTCGGAACACGTTTCGTAATGCGCATTTAATACAAAGGATTTTTTAATATCAAATTTATGGATTTAAACGGTATAACTAACTCTGTTCTATAGTTTGAACATTGCCACATCTTTCATTTGGAATTTTAACAATCGTAAAAGTTTAACACCTAGCCTAAAACGTACTTAAGGGCCGTTCATATACCCAAACAGAAAAACAGCCTGTGATCATGACAGAACCCCGTAACAGTCATTTATGGAAAACAAATTTATCTTTAAAAAGCATGAACTTTTTTTCCCCATTTTTTTATAAGACCGTTTTCAAATCCCGATTTCTAAATTTTTAGAACCCAAAAACAAAAGGGAAAAAATAAGATTTAAAATTTAAAAATGTAAAACCCTCTTTTATATCATTAAGATCCATTAAAATTTATTCTTAAAATACGAGTAAAATTCTCATAAAGGCTATAAAAGGGGTTGAAAAATCTGTTGAAAGCAAACGCTAAACAAAAAGGCCCGAAAAACGAAAACAAAGCCATCCAATTAAAAGGATTTTTTTCACCAGTCTTTTAAGGGCAAAAAGACGAAAAAACAACCCAAAATTTTAAAACTGGTTGTTTTAGCGGGGACTAACGAAAAGGAAAAATTGAAAATTAAAAATTTGTCGGGGAAAAGCAAAAAGGTTTTTTAAAAGTCAGCTGTGTTTTTTAACCCTTTTTTCCCCCTTGCGTTTTATCAGGGCTTGCAAAAAAACAAGGGAAACATGACGTTTTACCGCTGTTCCCGTTCGTTTTTTCCTTTTTAAACAAATTTTGGTCTTGTTGCCTTCCCTTTAAATTTTGAACAAGTCCCCGCGATAAAAAAAAAAAAAAGGGAAATTTTTCCTCGTGCCAAAGTGATATAAATAAGTACGATAGTTTTTAAAAACGTTTATTTTCCCCAGATTGCAGAATGGGGTTTTAATATTATAAAAATAATTTTTTTTACAAACCAAATTTTTTAAAATTTTAAGGGTCTGGGGGTT